GCTCCTCCAGTCGTTCTCGACCACCTTCGTCCTCTCAAAGGCTGTAGACAAGATCGTGGTTAACTGCTCCTCACTTGGCGTCTATATCGGTAAGTTTACCTGCCCCTCCTTCGTACTCGACATTTACGTTTTTCATGTTCTTGCCTGGGACTGTTAGAATCTTACCAGTGCCCCCTCTTTGGGGTAATACTGGTACACCTTAGGAAAAACTGGAATCAGAGAAGCAGATGGGGCTCCCATGCCCCTTGTTTCCCCTAGTTTCGATGCACGGACTTGACACTTAGGATAAACAGCCTGAACCCTGAGCGAGACCGAGCAAAACCCAAGTTTTTGATCTATAAATAGGATTTAGCTGAGCAAGAACCTGTTTGTGGTCTTGTTTTGAGGCCGAGACCAAGCTGTAAGAAGGGGGCCTAGAACCGATCTAGGAAGGCGAGGTCGGCCACATAGTGAAGCCAAGATAAGAAAATTCAACCGATCAAACGCCCCAGATAGTGAAGCCGTGCAATTTATGCCACACTAATCCTTGGACTTGTTTCTTAATAATGCAGAACAAACTAGGACCGACCAGGCCCGTTCAGCGTTACAACCGGTGAAGCTCAAAGTCCGAGCAAACATTCACCAAATTTTTACCGAGATACGACCTAAATCAACCAACTAAATAAAACCAGGATAGATGGAGAAGTACCGGTTCATGGTGAATTCTCCGAGGGCACTGGCCGAGTTCCGTAGAGAGTACAATATTCCAGATGATGTCCACTTGGAGCTTGCCAAGAAAGGAGACCCTCCCTGGGGCAAGCTGGACAAATGCCCCTTCACGGTGGTGTCCATTGTAGAAGGAGGCCTGCGCTTCGCCGTCCAACCCCTGATCTGCGAGTTTTTAAGGCAGACTAGGCTGTGCCCGACCCAAGTCTCTAACAATACATACAAAATAATAAACGGCGTGGCCGAACTAAATAGAATTCAAGGGCGGGGTCAGGCGTCTCCACCAACTCTTCTTGGAACTCGTCATCGTCACATTTATTTGTCTCGGGGCCATCCTCCCAAGGTATGAAGCCTGGCCTCCAAGACCCTTTATAGGTAGTAAACTGTCTTACCGCTCTCCCGCACCTTAACAATCTTGGGCGGAGGACTTGTGGACTTGCTGCTCCTCTTCTGCCCACTACTTTCTCGAGTAGCCTCTGCATCCCGAATGCCTTCCCATTTTGGCAATTTTACTCTTGCAACTTTACCGATCCTTGGAGCTTCACCCATTAACAACTCAGTAAAGAAAACTGCATTCGAATAGTGTGCCTCCTCAACACCAAATGGCTGTTCAGACGCATTTATATGGTTACTGTGCGCTTTCCCAACTTTGCCTTCACACATTAGCGATAACTAGACGGGATAGCTCCATATCGGTGCATCCAAGCTCTGCCAAGTATCATGTGGCAATTTGTGTCCGCTTCAATCACATGAAACTTGGTTGCGGAACGGATCTCACCAATTCCTAGGTCCACGCCCACATAGCCCTTGGTATCTTTTTTCTCGCCGCCAAAACCCATCACAATGATGGGTTGGCGAACCATCCTGGACTCTAGGATACCAGCCTTTGCAAAGGTGTCAGTAGTGATGATGTTTATAGACGCTTGAACTCTACATCATTGATGTATGCTGTGACAAAAAGAGGACGATTATGGGAAAATGGGTATGCTCTGGCCGGTTGCCATTTCTTCTAACTCATCATAGTAAGACGCCATATGCACTTGATCACGCACAGGCCCGAGATAGCCAATCATATATGTACATTCTTCCCCTTCTCCTTGTGGTTAGGACAAGGGTCCTTCTGCACATCACGGTTACCGGCATCTTTGAACTTCAGCTCATTTGCGTCAACTTTCTTCTTGAAGATACTTTTCAAAGTCCAACAGTCCCTAGTAGGGTGTCTGGTGGTTCTGTGATAGACACAATAATCCGGGCTTTCTTTGTCCTTGGTTGGAGGGACTTCAACTGGAGGCAAGGTAAGTTCACCATCAGCTACCCATTCTTTAACCAGAGCCTTAACATTCTCAAGGCTGCAAAGACATAGATTTCTGTCCTCATAACTCTCTCTTCCGAGAGGACGTCGCCTCCCCTTGCGAGAGGCTCCCTCCTGCAGAGGTTACCGCAGCAACTCTGCTACTGCTAGGGTAAGCGGTGGCTGTCACGAGATCTGTGCAAGGGACCAGTGGTACTGAGGTTCCTAGCTGCCTCAATCAAGGCTGAAATGGTAGGCGGATTATGATTCACCAAGAAAATTTTGTAGTCGCGTATGGCACCCCACAAATATGCTGACTAAATAGGCCTCATCCACTGGTTCATGACAGTCAATAGCCTTATCTTGGAACCGCTTAATATAGTCCAGTATATCTTTGCCCTCCTTTTGGACATCTCGCCCAAGGGTGAGGGTTGTAACTTTCTCTTAGACTTGGAAGAACTTCGTGTGGAACTTGTTCACCATCTCCTTCCAACTCTTGATCGAGTTGGGAGCCAAGTTCACATACCAGTTGCAAGCCCTTTCAGTAAGTGGACTTGGAGAACTCCCAAAGGCGCAGAGAGTGGTCACTGCCATGGACACCAAGAGTTTCAATGAACCTCACCACCTGTTCTCTAGCATTGCCTTGTTTCCCATCAAACTTAATAAACTTGGGCACCGTATACCCAGTTGGGTATGGCATGGTTAATATCTCCTGAAAGGTGTCACGTGTCCTTCTGCATGTACTGTGTACTATTTGTTTGCCTCCGCAACTACCTTTTTGAGCCTCAACAAGTGTAGTTGCGACGGGAGTGTTTGGCACTGCAACTCCCTCTTGAGCCTCAGCAAGTGCAGTTGCGATGGGAGCGTTTGCCGCTGCACTTGCCTTCTCAGCTCGAACCTCAGCAAGTGCACTTGCAACGGTAAACTTTGCTGCTGCACTTACCTTCTCAGTTCTACTTCGCCACTACATGCATTCTCAGGACTCCATTAGTCTGCTATCGACAATGTTCGTACTCACCGCAGCGAAGCCTTCACCCTTAGCCACCTAATCACAAACTCCCCAACTTCCCGGGGTGAAGGCCACAGCCAAGCCTGCTATCAGCCGTGTTGTGCCTTAGCATCAAGCCCAAGGGGCTTCCTTAGTCCTGCCTGTGCGACTAAGGCAGGTCTATGACCTGGGTAATGGAAAGGGAGTCCCTTATGCTAGGGCTACCTTGCTCCTGTCTTCGCGGGATCGTCGCGGTAAACTGGTACCCTGGGCCTGCTATCAGCCCTGGGCTAGTAATGCCTTGGGGCCTGCTATCAGCGCCTAACATTACCCTCTCCTTGCAGAGGGGAAGCTTTTCCCAGAGGCTACTATCACCTTGCCGGGATGTTCCCTCCGCAAGTTGGTTGCGGCGGCAGTAGTTGCTGTGGTAGTCATTTCCCGTGGCAAGTTCAAATGGCATAACCGACAATATTGGAGATAGCGGCGCCGACAAAATGCCTCTGCAACTTGGGCGCCTCTGCAACTTAGTTGCTTCGGTTCTCTCCTTCCCTCAGCAACTCCAGGTGGCAACAGAACCGAGAATACTTGGAATGGCGGCGCTAAGACAAAGTGTCTCCGCAACTTGGTCGTCGCAACTGTCGCCTCTGCAACTTAGTTGCTTCGGCTTTCTCTTTCCCTCATCAACTTTGGATGGCGGCGGAGCCAATGATATTAAGAATGGCGGTGCTGAGGCAAAATACCTCGGCAACTTCCCTGCTGCATGTATTCCCTCTGCAATTGTGTTCCCGCTGCAACTTGACTTGGTCATTTTCCTTCGTGGAGTCTGTTTGGACCCTTGGCGGGTCAGACCTACTCCGGCCCATTGTTGGCCCACTTCCCTTGGACTTTTAGCCCATGCTCCTTTTTCATTCCTGGTCGCCTCTTTGGGGCGACCTCAGTACTTAGGCCCACACTTAATTTGGGGTTTAATTTTTGACCCTCGACAAAAACAGAACATAGTGGCTAGAAGTAGTGCTGAAGCTGAATTTAGATTAGTGGCTCATGGAATTTGTAAAGCTTTGTGGATCGAGAGAGTGTTGGAAGACTTAAAAATTCCAAGAACATCACCAACGAAAGTTTACTGTAACAACAAGGCAGCAAATGCAATTGCTCATAATCTTGTTCTTCACAACAGAACTAAGCATGTGGAAGTGGACAAGCACTTTGTCAAAGAAAAGATTGAGAAGGGATTGCTCTGCATGTCTTATATACCCACTGTGGAGCAGATTGCAGATGTTCTTACAAAGGGACTACACAAGAGGCAATTCGACCACCTAATCTACAAGTTGGCCATGGAAGACATATTCAAGCCAGCTTAAGGGGGAGTGCTGGAAATGGGAAGAAAATAATTCTGCCAGAATATGGCTGAATTCTTTAGGATATCACAGCTGTAAATATCAAGATTTAGTCAATACTATAGAATAAGAAAGTTTATATTTAGAATTAGAATTAGTAGCTAAATAGTAGCTAATCAGTCCTCAAAATCAGTAGCTAATCAGTCCCTTATTTTATGCCATGTATCTCCTATTAATAGAGATGTTATGTGTACATTGTTTAAATATGAGAATAAAAAATATTATTCTTTCTAGCTTTCATTCAAAATAATAAAATCCAGTTTTCCAACTAGTACCAAGCATGTAGATTTTGAATTTCTGAACAAATTTAATTAAGGCATTTCAAAATGGCCTATTTGACTGATCAATAAATTAATGGAAGGAAAATAACACGGTGCAGCTGTTAATAGAGTAAGTAGAACTTCAATTGGCGAACAATGCTACAAGACCCCAAATGTTCTAGCAAACAGTCACATGGGTGTTAGTCCCACACCCATGTGAGTGGTAGATTTTTTGGTAAATTTTTTCGTATCCCTAGGCATTTTGCTCATTGGTGAAATATGGCTAGAGACGAAAACCACAAAAGAAAGACACGAAAAGGAGCATAATGTAACTACTAGGAAATCCTGAAAAACAAACTCACTTGGTAAGTCAACGAGAGATGGAAATAGCTGAACAAATGATCCAAGAGACATCAATGCTGGAAGCACACTTAGAAATGATTTTTCTGATCTGCATCAAAAAAGAAAACAGAAAAAAAATATATGTATGAAAGTCAGTAATGCCCTTCACTACAGATTAAGTCCACAGTATCTCCAAAAGCATTCTTTTAGATCCTCCTTTTTGAAATTAAACATGTGTTTAGTTGTCAAAATTTCCATTAATCTCAATCAATTTCAATACGAAATTACTATACCATATTTTGTTCCAACAAGGTTGGGACGGTGCATAATAACTTTAAACATACAAAATAAGATGTGGCATCACATAAGCAACGAAATTTATTTCTGAAGTAGCATTGACAAGACAAAAATAAAATAAAACTACAATTATGAATACCAATATATATGAAGGGTTTTGCTAAAAAGTGCCCTGGGACACGAAAAGTAGACCAAAAAATAAATTTGAAAACACAAGACACTTCTTATTAAATTCAATGCAATTTTTATTGAAATTAATGCACTTCTTTTAACTATTTGACCTATTTTCAAGACACTTCCATATTTCAATTCCAATATTCAGCACTTTTAGCATTTGTCATATACAAATATCAAGTTAAAAGGACACAACAATTGCACGAATTATAACTAAGATCATTCCAATAAAATAAATGAAATATATCTTTTAAGAACGGAACGAAAAAGATGACACAAGGAACTTACTTCTCTACATTTCATGAGCTTTAGCATTAATGGGAAAAATTACAAATGCAAGACTGATGTTAGAGAAAGATAAGTTACCAAAATATTTGATATACATGTGTCATATTTCTTCTTTTCTACTTCTAAATCTGAAAATTCAGTCAAATAAAGAAACTAAATCCTATGCAAAGAATCATGCTAATCTCAAATCATACCTAAGGGAGTAATGTAGAGAAATTAGTTAGAAATTTTCTCTTGTTAAGATTTCGAAAGTCCAATGTAGCAGCAACAACAGGGTCTAAAAATTCACTGCAATCAAACATTGGAAGAGTGATTTTCAAATATGATTTATCATATGATATGCATAAATAGAGAATAATTGTTAGATGAAATCATAATTTCATATTTTCCCCAAAAATAAACTATTGTGAAAGGACTACAAACTAAACCATCTTTACCGGCTCAAACATGAATGAATGAAGGTCCTACTGGGATCAGCATCGTGTAGAACCACCTCTCCAAAATAGAGAAAAAATAGACGAATTTCCTGAGTAAAACTATAGAATAAAAGAACAATGCTTACATTAGCACATATGTAAGCATAATGATGGGGGGAAGAACTAGGAGAGAGGCAAATATCAAGCACCAAAAATACTTCAACATTCCAAATAAATAGTAACTACAAGTTAATAACACCTGCAATCAATTCATGGTCATTTTTTTCCATGTTTCGTTTGGTTCTATTTTGCATGAGAACCATCATGGCTCGAGCTTTGACAGCTTCTTAAGCTAGACAAGGTCTCTTCTTCTTTTTTTTATAACAAAACAACTAACTCATTGCAGCAAGCAAACATATAAATTCTTCTCAAAGAAAGTATTTTCTCCCCCCAACCTAAACGATGCATTGTCCTCAATGTAAAAAACAAAATCACAAAGGTTAGGAGATTACATTAAATAATGAACCATGCCTATATATATATATATTTTTTTTTTTTGAGCGTCAACAAAAATTTTATTAAAAAAGAAAAGATGAACCATGAACCTGCAAGGGATTATTGCCAAAAACACAAGGGAAAAAAATTACAAACGAAAAACTAACAACTCCTAAAAGTAACATTGCTTTTATTATTATGTTTATGGGTCTCTATAAATAGGGTCTTTTAATTCAATGGACTCCTCTCCTCTTCAGGTGGGAAATTCTCCAAAACTGGTTTAAAACGTTGGCCAATCACTTTAAAAACATTACCATTCTTGGGATTTTCAATCTCAACGGCCCTATGAGAAAAAACAATTTTAACTATGAAAGGGCCGGTCCATCTAGATCTCAATTTACCGGGAAACAAATGTAGTCTAGTTTTATACAAAAGAACCTTTTTGTGAAGGCTCAACAATTCATTTGAGTACAAACATTATTAACATTAAAAACATATCATATACAATGACACGCTTTTTCTTTCAAAACAGCACCCCTTTTCTACTCCCTCATCTACAAAAATATGAAATCTTGCCTTTAGGCAATAGCAATATTATCTTTTATTCGATGAAAAGCTACAAACACAAGACTGTTGTGAGTAAAAAGGTATATATATTATGTAGAGGGTTAGAAAATTAAGATAAAAATTACCATCTTGTTGCGCTGAATTCGAGAAGCCCAAGCACCCTTGACAACATTGTGGTCAGATCTAGTGTTCTTGCTATTATCTGAGTCACCCAATATATATTACATAAAAGGAACAAACAAGGAACAAAAGATGGGTAGTAATTAAAAGGAAAAACAAATAAATATTTGAAGAGCAAAATCAAAATATAAAAGGACTGGAGGTACAATGAAATCTTGTCTAACCTTTGAGATAGGTTTTGTGGATGTTACGAGATGATTTCAAAGCAAACCAAGTCTTATGGGCCTGGTTGAGCAATTTATATTGTTGATGGCTCAAATGTAGTTTTTCTAAAAATTTAAATTAAATACATTAAATCACAATTAAATATAAATTGAGAGAATGAATATAATATCCAAAATTCCTAGAATAACTACGTAATTTTAAGCATTCATCACACCTCCCAACCAACTTTAATTTTAGAACCTAGCAATTAAGGCGACTAAAATAAAATCAAAAAGAAAAATAAAAGCAACTACTCTAAACCACTTCCGCAAGAAATCACGATTGAATTTAGCACATGCAATAAGCCCTTAATCCAATAGATTACCCCTCATGGACGAGTTAAAGTCTTGTGTTTCCAAAGATGTTACCCACAAACATCCAAAAATTTCATTACTAAAACGACTTCTTTCATTCTCATGCCAAGGTTAAAGAACCAGTCATGAATTTCACAACCTTAACAAGATAATCAATCAAAGTTCAAAAGACTAGCAGCCAGTAAAGATATCGCATGACATTCAAAATTTGGAGTGTGTTAAAAAAGTTCAACCAACACAGACACAACCTTAGCCTTAAAGTGAAATATAACCCAAATCTCTTTCTGAAACATGCTTCGACTCAAATCTCACCAGTTATTGCACTCAACAAATAAATCACTCAGAATATGGTGCAAAAATTGCTCTCAATATATGCGAGTAGAACAATGTAAATCAAAGGCAAAATATCCCGCATACTAATTTTTTTGAAAAACGCTAATATGAAAGAATAAATAAATAGTCTCATGAATGGAATATCAAATACTGAGAAATAAAATTTCTAGAAATGTTACCCACAAACGTCAAAAATTTTCTTTACTCGAAGGATTTCTTTCGTTCTCATCCTAAAAGTTCAAGAACAAGTCATGAATTTCACAACCTTAACAAGATAACCAATCAAAGTTCAAGACACTAGCAGCAAGTAAAGATATCTCATGACATTCAGAATTTGGCGTGTGTGAAAAAGTTTAGCCAACACATACACAACCTCAGCCTTAAAGTGAAATATAACCCAAATCTCTTTCTGAAACATGCTTTGACTCAAATCTCACCAGTTATTGCACTCAACAAATAAATCACTCAGAATATGGTATAAAAATTACTCTCAATATATGCGAGTAGAATAATGTAAATCAAAGGCAAAATATCCCGCATACTAATTTTTTGGAAAAACGCTATAATGAAAGAATAAATAATAGTCTCATGAATGGAATATCAAATACTGAGAATTAAAATTACCACACCATCACCCCAATCCATCATGTCCACTTGTAAACTATACCACACTCAAGATCAAATAGGACTTTTATTTGGTTGTAAAGCTTGGGTTGAGGAATTACGAAAAAATAATAAAAAGCCAAAGGTGAATAAAAAAAAGGACGTCTGAGAGACAATTGGCGTAAAATAAACACAATTAGAGCATTATTCCAAATGCCTTGCTCTTTCTATTACTTTTCTTTTTGTCTTTTTCAACTTACTCCTCCTGCTTTTTTTTTTTTCTTTTTTTTTCCCTTCGTTGAACACAATTTATTTCTTCTTCTTTTTTTCAACTTTTCTCCTTTTTTTTTCTTTTTTTTTTTTAAACAAATTTGCCATTGTCAAACTCAAATAATCCCAACATATCTACAAAAGTAAAAAGAAAGTATGGGTTGTGGGGTTAAACAAAGAAAGGCTAACATAAAAGGCTCAAATTGGTTTCTAATGGTTCATGAAGTAATAATAAAAGAAAGAAAAATAAATAAAAGGCTCAAACTCCGTAGTTGGACCCTGCTACCGCGGCGACTTGTACATGGCCGCCTTCGTCAGTTACTTAATTTTATTTTATTTTTGTTCTCCCCAGCAACCCTGCTGAGAGTATTAACCCTCTGGTGTTCCCTTTGGCTATCAAACTTTGCAGCGGCAGCCAGATCCCTCTGACCCCCCTCTTCTTGGGGAACTTATACTTCCGCCTTGCCTTTAGGCAATAGCCAATATTATCTTTATTCGATGAAAAGCTTACAAACACAAGACTGTTTGTGAGTTAAAAAGGTATATCATATTATGTAGAGGGTTAGAAAATTAAGATAAAAATTACCATCTTGTTGCGCTGAATTTCGAGAAGCCCAAGCACCCTGACAACATTGTTGGTCAGATCTTAGTGTTCTTGCTATTATCTGAGTCAACCCAATATAATATTACATAAAAGAAACAAACAAGGAACAAAAGATGGGTGTAATTAAAAGGGAAAACAAATAAATATTATGAAGAGCAAAATCAAAAAATCATAAAAGGACTGGAGGTACAATGAAATCTTGTCTAACCTATTGAGATAGGTTTTTGTGGATGTTACGAGATGATTTTCAAAGCAAACCAAGTCTTATGGGCCTGGTTGGAGCAATTTATATTGCGTGGCTTCAAATGTAGTTTTTCTAAAATTTAAATTAAAACATTAAATCACAATAATATAAATGGAGAGAATGAATATAATATCCAAAAATCCTAGAATAACTACGTAATTTTAAGCATTCATCACACCTCCAACCATACTTTAATTAGGAACTAGCAATTAAGGCGACTAAAATAAATTATCAAAAAGAAAAATTAAAAGCAACTACTTAAACCACCTTCCGCAAGGAAATCACGATTGAATTTAGCACATGCAAAAGCCCTTAATCCAATAGATTACCCTCATGACGCAGTTAAATTCTTGGTTTCAAAGATTTACCACAAACTCCAAAAATTTCATTACTAAAATGACTTCTTTCATTCTCATGCCAAGGTTAAAAAAACCAGTCATGAATTTCACAACCTTAACAGATAATCAATCAAAGATTCAAAAGACTAGCAGCCAGTAAAGATAATCGCATACATTCAAAATTTGGAGCTGTGTTTAAAAAAGTTCAACCAACACAGACACAACTTAACCCTTTAAAGTGAAAATATACCCAATCTTCTTTCTGAAACATGCTTCGACTTCAAATCTTCACCAGTTATTGCACTCAACAAATTAAATCACTTCAGAATATTGGCTTTGCAAAAATTGCTCTCAATATATGCGAGTAGAACAATGTAAATCAAAGGCAAAATATCCCGCCATACTAATTTTTTTGAAAACGCTAATATGAAAGAATAAATAATAGTCTCATGAATGGAATATCAAACACTGAGAAATAAAATTTCTAGAAATGTTACCCACAAAACGTTCAAAAATTTTCTTTTACTCGGAAGATTTCTTTACGTTCTCATCCTAAAGTCCAAGAACAAGTCAGAATTTCACAACCTTAACAAGATAAAACCAATCAAAGTTCAAACACAGCAGCAAGTAAAGATTATCTCATGACATTCAGAATTTTGGCGTGTGTGAAAAAGTTTAGCAACACATTACACAACCCAGCCTTAAAGTGAAATATAACCCAAATCTCTTTCTGGAAACATGCTTTGACTCAATCTCACCAGTTATTGCCACTCAACAAATAAATCACTCAAGAGAATATGGTATAAAAATTACTCTCAATATATGCGAGTTAGAATTAATGTAAATCAAAGGCAAAATATCCCGCATTACTAATTTTTGGAAAAACGCGTATAATGCAAGAATAAAAAATAGTCCAATGAATGGAAATATCAAATACTGAAATTTAAAATTACCACACCATCACCCCAATCCATCATTCCACTTGTAAACTATACCACACTCAAGATCAAAAGGGACTTTTATTTGGTTTGTTAATGCTTGGGTTGATGAAAATTACGAAAAAAAATAATTAAAAAGCCAAAGGTGAATAAAAAAAAGGACGTCTGATTAGACAATTGGCATAAAATAAACACAATTAGAGCATTATCTGCCAAAGCCTTGCTCTTTCTATTACTTTTCTTTTTGTTCTTTTTAACTTACTTCCTCTGCTTTTTTTTTTTTTCTTTTTTTTCCCTTTCGTGGAACACATTTATTCTCTTCTTCTTTTTTCAACTTTTCTCCTTTTTTACTTTCTTTTTTTTTTTAAACAAATTGCCATTGTCAAACTACAAATAATCCCAACATATCTACAAAAGTAAAAAAAAAGTATGGGTTGTGGGGTTAACAAAGAAAGGTAACATAAGCGCTCAAATTGGTTTCAATGGTTCTGAAGTTAATAATAAAAAAAGAAAATAAATAAAAGGCGCTCAAAGAAACAAAGATGGCCTAAAATCATTCTCTCAAGAATTAGATGTCCTTCAACTTTCATTGATCTCAAGGGATAAAAGTGTCATAAAAAATTGAATTTATTCTCAGCATTCAACCAAAATAAGAAATAATGAGACTAAACAACAAATTTAATGTTCCTTCCAAAGAAAATTAAGAGTAGATGTATAGTAACCCCTCCAATAAATGATGGCACAAAATACAGGTTAAAAAGTCTCCACTATCATTCTTCAAGAATTTCAAGTCATATCCCTTATCAACTAAAAATCATATTCATGTGCCAAAGGCAGTCAATTATTTCCAAATATGAAACACATGAAATACTTTAACACAAGTAGCTAGCCTATCAAACTTCAACACCAATTTCTCAAGTTTAAAGCAACTAAAATACTACAAGTATGCCGAATAATGCATAGAACAATAACATTTAACATGCACACCTTTTTTTCTTTTTTAAACAAAACAACTAACTCATTCTACCAAGCAAACATATTAAAAATTCTTCCCAAAATAAGTATTTTCTCCCCCCAACCTAAACATGCATCTCTCGAGGGAGTAAAAAGTGTGATAACAAATTGATTTGTTCTCAGCATAACCAAAAAATTGAAAAAATAATGAGACTTAAACAAACAAATTAATGCGCTTCCAAAGAAAAATTAAGAGTAGATGTTATAATAACCCTCCAATAAATGATTGGCACAAAACTCACTGGTGGTTAAAAGTCTCCACTATCATTCCTTCAAGATTTTCAAGTCATACCCACTTATCAACTAAAAATCATAATTCATGTGGCTGAAGTGCAGGGCAATGATTTCCAAATATGAACACACGGAATACTTTAACAAAGTAGCTAGCATATCAAACTTCAAAACAATTCTCAAGTTAAAGCAATTAAATACCACAAAGTATGCCCAATCACTCAATGTATAGAACAAAAGAATACCTGAGACACTAAATTATTTTTTTTTTTTAACAAAATAACTAACTCATAGCTGCAAGCAAATATATAAATTCTTCTCAAAATAAGTATTTTCTCCCCCCAAACTAAACAATGCATTGTCCTGAATGGAAATTTTGATCAATTATTTTGAACAACTTTTGAATGGAGTAAAGGAAGTTAGAATCGTCGATCTCTAATTATCTAAAAACTACGAAAAGGGTGTTTTTGGTTTCTATAACGCGCCACAACAAATGAAGCACAAATTCCAACAAAATCTCCACAAAAGAAAAGATAAAATTGCATAAGATAATACATGTATTAGCAGTTCACTCTTTGCATGTTTTTCCACATGAAACTATTAACAAAGTTTTTTTTTCCACTTTTCCTTCCATTTCTTTTTCCCTTCTCATACAAGATCCACCAGATGCTTATCATGAAATATAGCCCAAATTATTGGAAAGGAATTTCCAAACCTCACACATATGTTGGACACTATAGCAATCGCAATC